TCGATCAGGTCAGGACATCGAGCTGATCGCCCTACGCAATTCCAACGATATTCTGCTCTCAGTCAGCTTGCACAGTCCAGCGGCATGCAGTGAACCGGACTCTAAAGCAATTGCGCAGGTAGAATATCCGGTGCAGGTGCAATTCGACGAGAAACCAAAAATTGCCGGCTCGCCAGCTCCAGATATCAACTGTTAGTTTAACACTCACTGCCACTAGAGTATTGATGTGCAGGTTGCATGAACGGAGCCTGTTTTTCAAAGATGTGGGCCGGAAGGGATCTCAGCCGTTTTTCGGTTGCCATAAAAGGTGAAGGCACTCGGAACAGGCAGTGGTAGTCAAATACCAACAGCAACCACCCGCTGGCAAAGCTGTCAACGATTTCTTCGTACACAGTCACAGTCAACGATGTCAACGATTTCTTCGTTACTTTAGAAGTGGTGGAAAAGTTCTATTAGCACCAATTTATCATCAAAACAAGTGGAAAAATCGTAGGAGGAGTGATTGTTCCACAAATGGATTCAAGTTCTGGGTTACTTTTGAATGTTTGCGTTTATTATGGAGGATAGATAATCATTTCTGGTCACTGGCTTAGCTAAACACTGCTAGTATCCAGATGCATTCAGAAGTGCCGGAAGATGGTGGAGCAGAAAAAACGATGGAAAAGGAAAGCAGAAATGAGCACAGGACTAAGAATGCTAGTGTCCAAGTTCTCTTTTTGAATTCGTTTCAAATATTTGTTTCTTTTCAAACGTCAGAAGGGCTCAGTCTTTTGCAGATAACGGAAGCATTATTTCGGTGGCTTCGTCAACCTCAAGCAACTGGCATTCCGAACTGTTGCTCGGCCTGATCATCGTATTCGGAGCCCTAATCGGCATTGTGTACGCAGTTGGCGCACGCGCCAGACGGCCGTTCAACGAAGGTTATGAGAAGCTCGTGCTGCCGATCCTTACGCGTCTCAGCTCTTCCAGCTCTTGCGGCAAGGATGAGAATTCACAGGAATGGGTATGGCTCTCGAAAGCACAAATTGATAGCGCCAGCATACACAGCAGGTTCATTCAGTTTGAATTCTTTCAAATCTTTGTATGTGGATGATTGTAAGTGTGTGTATGTGTAAGTGCGTGTATTATTCTTGTTGATGTGTTTGTGTGGGAATTTTTCCGTTTGTTTGTGTGTTTGTGCGTCTCTGATAAGTAGATGAATATAAACCTCATTTAGATATTCGCAAAAATCAACGGTGGATATAGCAGCGACTGCTTCGGCGGCGGCAAATTCATCGAGTTTGAGCATCGGTAGCACGCAACGCAGCGTGTCCTATCGTGGATCCGAGATCAGCGTTTTCATCTCACCGCAGCCTGCTATTGCTGTAAGCTACAGCAGATTCATGCATTACCAGCTGTAACTAATTATAAAATAAAACAAAAAAATCCGTTCGGACAATCGCTATGGATATGCCATGTTACTCTAGGAAGGGGTAAAACCTTGTCAGTCTCTTATGTCGGGTGGACCGTTAAGCTGATAATCTTTTATGGGAGCAAAACGAGCGTAAAGCAGCAGCGGACTGACCACCAGATGACGACAGAGCCAACGGCAAAACCTTCATCATCGAAGTTTGCTTCGATTCCTTTTTAGACCTTTTTAAACCTTTTTCACCCACGTCTTCTGCACC